GTGTTCTCTCTGAAGCAACTAACACAGACGGCACTTGGACTCTCCTTCGTATGAAGCCAGCAAGTTTATTAAAGATGGGCATTGAAATGCAGGAAGAGCAACCAGTTCTGAGCTGGGGTGGATTCAACTCGATCTTGTATCCTGAACTTCCTTCTGCGAGCAAAATTGGATACTGTCCTATGATCGAAGGCTCATCCACCTAATTCTGCACAGTTTACACAGTTATGAAACACGCCCAGAAGATGCCTACTAACCTGGGTAAGGCCGACTCCATCATCACCTTTGCCCTTGCTATCTACACGAAGGCGAAGCAAATTCAGATGAAGTTTCCGGAGGAGTTTTCAGGCACTGTCATTCGGCTTGGGGGATTCCACATAGCTCTCAATTTCCTCTCTTGCAGCTTGGAAAGAAGTTTTGCAGTTCTGGATTGGAAGACCTTATTGAGTCTGGTGTATATGCAGGGGGGACAGCCTCAGCGGTAATGAAGGGGAAGTCTTACAACAGAGGAATTCAAGCTCACAAACCAGCAATGGAGGATTTTTGCGTTTGATGTGGGACGCTTTCATAGGATGGTACACAAGCCACGCTGGAGATGGGGAAGAGCGTCTTGTTGATGAAGATAAGAAAAGCAGAAGAATGCAGATGTGAAATAACAATGAACGTAGATGTACAATCTAGCGTGAATGGGTTGCAGCAGGAAACTACAGAGCTATGTTGGCTTTTTCAAAATTTTACAGCCCAGTCCAGAGCTAAGTCAAAGATGTTTGCTTTCTGGGGGAGTATGGGGAAATGGTGAAGCTGCTTCTTCAATTTGTCAAAGCTGAAAGAACTGGAAATTGGGAACTACATCTGTCAAGTGTGTCAGCTATGGTTCCACATTCCTTCATGATGGATAGGCCAAACTATGCACGCTGGCTCCCTGTATACATAATGGACATAAGGCAGTTGGCCACCAAGCATCCTCAAGTTCATCAAGAATTTGTGAATGGTTATCATGCAGTTAGTCGCTCTGGTAAGCCCTTTGCCCAGGTGTGGACAGATATGGCACTGGAACAGACCATAAAAGCAGACTCCAAGTCAAAAGGGGGAATAATTGGTATTTCCCAGAATCCTGGTACGCTAGATTGTTGGTTCCTCACCAGTCACGAGCGTGCGTCAGTTACTACAGCCCTTAAAAATATGTTTACCCAAGAGCACGACCATGTAGACATACACAAGAGGCTGGCGCAAAACGGGTAGTGCGCGATGAGGCTGATGTTTAGAAGCTTGTTTCATGCTTTACAACTGAACTGATGGCTAATCCTTTCATGCAAGAATCTGAGTTGTTAGTCAACTTCGCTACGGGCGTCATCTTACCCAATGACAACGCTGATGGTTTGATAAGAAGCACTGAAAAAGGACGCAAGCAGATGAACACCTTTGTAGAGAAACGGTTGAACAATAATCAAGTAAGCTTTTGGGATCCAATTCCAAAGCTCAAGGTGAAAACTTTCGAAAGTAGAACAAGGAAAATCCAGGTAAAGGCAGTCAATGATAAGCTGGTTACAGTTGGTGCTGATAGAGAGCTGTTTGGACACCTTTTGATCGCCGCCAACGTGAGGCAGATTAACCTCAGAAGTTCTAGCTATGAGCTTTCATCTGTCCCGTTCTCCTTGGCTTATCAAGAAGGCAGCTTGAGGAAGACAACCAAGAGTACCCTGGCAGCTCTTATTGAAAGCAAAGTTAATGTTTGTCCACGACTCCGACCTTTCCCACGATACACCATTTATCATGGCATGGCTTTAGTTCAAGTACTGAAATCAACGGGAAGTAGTACCTTTGGCAAACTCGCATCAAATACTTTAAAGCTATCACTACATCACTCGCCAACTGCAAAGAAGTTCACATTGTCTTCGACCAATACTGGGATGTGTCGATAAAAGCAGGAGAACGTGAATGCAGAGGTTCCCTGAACGTTTCGTTGGAGGTTAAAATCGACGGACCTTCTACGCCTGTGCCGAAAAAGAGGGGGAAGTATATTCCTAATCCACAAAACAAGACAAATCTGTGTGACTTTCTGTCAGAGTCGGTTTGTATGTTAGGACAACAGCAGCTCCCTTCTGAGAAGAATCTTGTCATTGCTGGAGGATTTGAGAATGGCAGACAGGCAGTGATAGTCAGAAGAGGTCACCGCGAAGACGTGGACATTCTGGAATCAGACCACGAAGAAGCAGACCCAAATAAATAGTTCCTCACGCCCATCTATAAAGTTGAATCTGAGACGTCAATCTCGATCCAGTTGAAAACATAGTACCCTTTTATTAGTGCAGCAACTTTATATCATCATTAATTTATTGTGTATTGTTGTTTGACAGGTTACTGCTGCATGCTAAGTATGTTGCAGATACCTATCCAGAGTGTCATATTGTCTTACAATCACCAGACACGAATGTTCTCGCTCTCAGCATATCCCATTTTTCCGATATCAACTACACTGAATTTTGGTTCAAAACTGGCGTGAAAGACTGTCTCTGTTATGTTCCAGTTCATGACGTATCGCAAGAGCTTGGCGAAAAAATGTGTCGTGCCCTTCCGCCCTTACACGCCATTACTGGATGCGACTCCACCAGCGCCCTTGCCGGAATCGGTAAGAAAAAGGGATGGCAAGTGCTATTATACAATGAGCAGCATCAAGACAGTCTAGGTCTTCTAGGTTCCCAGCGAAACCTGAGTGATGGCATTGCCACCCAATGTGAAGCTTTCATCTGTGATCTCCACCCGAGCTCAAGGATGAAAGCACGCACTGTGGATGAGTTGAGGTATTTCCTGTTTTGTCAAAACAGAAAGCAGAAGAATGAGCTTCTTCCACCCACATCTGACAGCCTACTGCAACACTTGAAAAGAGTTAACTATCAGACTTTGTTTGGAGAAAGGCTCTGACTGCAATCCAGCATCTCCTGCAGCCCGAAAGTAATGGATGGGTGAGGGAAGACTCCTCGCTGAAGCCGGTTTACATGACAAAAGAGCCAGCTCCGAGTAGCCTGTTGGAACTGACGACTTGCACATGTCAGAGAGGGTGTCAGAGCAACTGCTCGTGTAACAACACAGGCTTATTATGTTCAGAGGCATGTTATTGCATGGCCAGCAGTGACATGTGTAGAAATCTGCACAGAGTTCTCTTAGACTTCGTTTCTGATTCTGATTCCGAGGACTCTGATTCTGAGTGAGAACAATACTCGTTATTATTAGTATTATACTCATAAATTCGAATATTGCAGTATCTTAAATCAGAAACGAAAAGTGGCAACATTTTCTTTCTTTTTCATTTATAAGTGATCGATAATTTTTAGTTTGTTGCCTCCAAGGGACTAGGCTTGTTTGCGTGCTAGATCTAAACTGATAAAAAGTGATATAAAGTAAATAGTTTTTATTTCCAAAGGCTTTGCTAAGATGATAGCAAGAGCAAAAGAAAGTTAATTTAATAAAGAAGGGATACATATTTCGTTTTTGTGGGGTTGTTCTTCAAAACATCCGCGAATGCACGTTTGTTAATAGTCGCACGTTTGTTACTAAGGTTTTCGATAAACAATTAAGAATAAAAAGCAGCGATATTAAAAATTGACGTTTTGACGGCTTTTTTGAGAATTTGAGAATGATTTGAGAATGATGGCATGGAGCTGTCGAAACGTCATTCCTTAATCTCGCTGCTTTTTATTCTTAATCATTTGCTACTGGTCACGTTTAAAATCACATGACTAATCATGTGACATATGTAACCACTTAAAAATGAAGTAGATGTATATTTAGTGAATTTAGCTTAAGTGGTTGATTTCGTTGATTTTCAAGAAATAGCGATGTAAACTGCGTTCGAGTGTGTAGCCTCGTTTCCATGCTGAGCCGTGGGTTGGGCAAGAAAACATCCCCTTAACTCGAAACCTAT